GACCATTTATTATTAATTATTGTCCCCTGTAAGGTAATGGTTGTGTTCTGAATGGAAGTTTGAACTTGTTTATTTGTTTGTGTAAATTTGTCTGTGTAAAAATACGATTTGGGGAAGAGAGCTTAAAAAGGAGGAGGAAGTGACGGCGTCGGTCTCTCTTGCCTTGGAGTGTGCACCTGCCGAGGAGGATTTGGCGTGAGGCCGTTGCCCTGGACTGCCTGTGGACCGTTTATCACCCCGAGTTGGGATTGCGGGGGATCAGTAACTTTTTCTTACCCAGGACTGCAGGGGAGGCACGCTAAATGGACCTTGAGTTTCTGGTGAGATCGCTTCTTTTTATTTCGGCGCGCCGACGCCTGGATGGATTGAGTGGGCGTTTCCCTCATCCCACTTGAAACAAACTTTCCTTCTAAGAGAACATTCGGACTGAAAGTTGGTGCAGCTTGGTTTTTGATTTATGGGGTTTGTCTGCAGATATGTAAATGTTGGGGGGGAATGAAGCGTTCGGGTTGGTTATGTGCACAACTGATGTGTTTGTTTAAATTGTGTAAAGGGCATTAAATGTTAGCCTGCGTGGCCAATATCATCAGTTGTTTATGAGAGCTCTTTTTTTTGCATGTGGGGTGAATTATTTTCTGTTTATTAGGTTATGCTTTCTTCTCAACCATTATAAGTTTTAAGCACTGTCAGCTTCAGACAATGCCCGCGACGTATTTAGCGTTATGTAATTAATCCCCCTATCATCGCAACGGTGGGGGCAGGTTGTTACAAAGTCAAGTCAACTTTATTTATAGAGCACATTTAAAACAGAACCTGTTATCAAAGTGCTTAACAACAACAACAATCAATGAGTAAATTAAAGAGAAAAATATATAAACATATATATATACAATACACTAATAATAATAACTGAAAAATTAATAAAAAGCATTTAAAACATAGGGTCACAGATTAAAAAACACTAGATCAATTTACACTGTATGAAATGCCTGAGAAAACAGATGTGTTTTTAGCATGGATTTGAAGTGAGGAAGGGAGGTGGCCTGTCTGATGTTGGGGGGCAGGTTGTTCCAGAGTTTGGGGCCCATGACTGAAAAAGCCCGATCTCCTCTGAGCTTCAGTCTTGTTTTTGGAACAGCCAAAAGCAGCTGATCGGATGATCTCAGGGCCCGAGAGGGAACGTAAAGTTCCAGAAGGTTAAGATTAATTATGCGTACATGATCCAATCTAATAATGCAAGGTTAAATCATGATGGTTCATGTCATGACGGCCTGCAAACTCTCATCCTACACTGCACCACCTGGTGGTGGATGGGTTAAATGCAGAGACTAATTTCGCCATTGTATGTGTTGGATTTAATATTTTATACCTTTTTATAATTCCTATCGAGCACTCAAATGTCATGTCATATAAAGTGTGTGCGTGTCTTTCTTCCAGGGTTGAACTATGTTTATAGAAAATGTTTGCTAATTCTAACTAGTTGACCTTTAAATATAATCTCATAGGAGCTAAGGATAATTTTACAAGTTCACATTTGATAGATTACAAGCAATCAAATCAGGCCTTTCAGAACCTTTCAGAACAGATTAGAGCAGAGACTGATTAACATAAATAAAGCTAGAACACATCTCTTTAATTTAGACAATATAGTTTGACTAAGTAAAATCAAATTAAAAGTATAAAAATGATCCAAATAAAAAACACAAACATGAGTTAGATAATAATAATTAAGTTATTAATTATTTCTAGAAAAAAACAACTTGATTTCTAATCAGTTGGTATCACTAAGGTATAATCACGTTAAACAAACAGTGTTAACAGTTTAAACGCAGACAAGGAAACTAAGATGAATCTGCCTTAAAAAACAGAATCACCAGGCCTTCAACAGATATTGAATTGACACCCATGAGGTAGGTAATAATTAATAGTTATTAATTATTACGTATAAACAATTTAGACACAAATCATTTTGTATCCCCAAAGTATAATAGCAAGTTAAACTAAACAAAAGCCGATTTCGGTGTACCAAAACTTATCTGAAATATACACGTTAACGTCCTTGAGGGGGCGGGCTAAGAGTCGTAACCATAGCGACAGAAGCTGAACCAATCAGGAAGCTAGCCTTCTCAAACGGGGATAAAAGGCCGGAAATGACACACGCCCACCGAGCATTTCCGGGAGACGCACACGGCGACGGTTCGTTCTTAATGCTCCATTTATATGCATATATCTTATTAATGTAATTGTTAGTCTCTGAATATCTGTAACCCATGTTTTGTCAAATAAATCTTTTATACGAAGGGCGACGCCTCAGCCGTTTTGAACACGACGTGGTATTCTAGCCACAACAAATGGTGACACCCGATGTGCGGCGAGGCGACGCGGCCTAGTTAAAATTGGACCGAGGTGACTCGCGTTACACACGCGGAGGAACAGGGGCCCCGAATATTCAGGTAAGCTGGTTACATATTTGGACGTTAATGTCCGGTGGACTGGCTTTTCGGCTGTAAACCAAATTAAAACTAAATTCAACTTCCTCTGTGCGTGTGCATGCGGCCATCTCCGGAAAATAAAGATGGTTTTATTTAAGCTAACTTCCGGTGATTCGTGTTAATTCTGACGAGGTGGGTTACGATATTCAGACAGTTTAAGCACCGAACGCTTTCTTTGACGGTTAGGTAGTGTAGTGAACTAAGCCTAAGGTCAGGATTTGACCTTAAGAACCATCTGGGACAGAAACTGTCATTTCACTGATTTGAATCCAGAAATACAGGTTGACCCACCCTGAGACTTTCTTTCTTGAAAATTCAAGTGAAAGAACACTCTCTTTTTTATTATCATTACTATTTTACAAATGTTGATAATCAAAGTGTTTTAGTCCAAACCATTTTAGATGTTGTAGTGAACTAATCAATTTTATTAACTGTGAAACAGTAATAACGATTTTTAATCCTCATGCAAAGTTAGAATTCATGTTAAGGCCTGTTACAGAGTAATTATGCATTTTCTGATTTTCTGTCTTTGAATGAGCAGTGTTGGTCCAAGGTTGGACTCAAACGCAGACAAGTGTTGAAACGAACTGTCTTGTTTTTACATCCTCTCAGACGTAAATAGAGAAGCTGGCACCTGTTTTTCCGCCAACTCGTCTAAATATCCCTCTCGTCTGTCTAAAAACATTTTCAATCTGTTCCATAACATTCTTGCTGTTTTCTGACTTCTTGTGACCTCTTACGTCACAAAACACACCCCTGTCTGGTCGACATTGACCAATCAGAAACTCCCAGATGAACCGGAAATAGAGCTCTTTAAAATGTCGGTACTTCCTACTTCAAACCAGTGTCCGGAGTGTGTCGAGAGTGGCGGAGAGTTTCGAGAAGAGTCGAGTTGGAGTCGTTGCAGCTCCCGTGCTGGGAAACAGGAAAATCCTGACATGACCACAGGGCTCTTCCGAGTCTTATGGGATTATAACATTTTCCACCTCTGGGGGGAACACTGACGGACTCCACTCATGTGAAAGTCCACTCGTGAGGTGAATTTGTGTCGGACGGAATACCGTCACTACTTCGGATGATTCACAGCTGTTCCTACGGAGACGCTGAAAGGGTGCGTTAAATGGAACTTCGTACCAGGGACATCTCCAGGTAAAAAGTTGATTTATAACACCTAAGCGTACTGGGGAAGAAGCTGAAAAAAGCCCGGAGAGTGCTGTTTCTGAATGCTGACACAAACAAACCCCCTCACCCATCTTTTTCTCCCTTTAAACTTCATCTTTCCATCTTTAAAATTCTATCAAGTAGAAATCATTCCAGATATTTTAGAAATGTCTGTGTAAAGTTCTCATCCACCGCCGTGTGGATAATCAAAATTGTACAGTTTGCTAAACTAGCCATGTTGTTATTTTTCATATTTTGCCAATTAATGTAAATGTGTGATGTGTTAA